CAAGTCTGCATCTTGTACAGCAATTAACCACTAAGAAGAATATATGCAGTGTATTATTTGTTGAAACTGTACTTTCGATTTGATTTGAAAATGTCTTGAATTTGGTCAGTCCTGGTATTAACAGTATTTTAAACTGGTCAGAGATAATTAATTCCCAGGATTAGTGTCTTTGTCTGTTTATATCCATGCTTTCAGATTACACCTGTCATCTGGATTGGTGCATTGCTGGCAGTCCTGCTCCTGCCTTACCTACCCCTCTATGTCGCTAACACAGAAGCTCAGAGATCCAAACCTGGCTGGGCTGCTGCCGATTGCCACTACAGCTATTGTTTCAAACTTTGATAGCCTTGATTTCTTGCTCGTGGTATGGGTTAAAAGGGTAAATGTTCTAGCTAACTGCTATGGGCACAAATGGCAGCAAGCTGACCATGTTGGAATGCATGATCAAGAACTTTTAATAAATTTAAAGAGGACTATGGGTAAAGATGAAGAAGGGAAAGCTTCATACCTTTTGTGAACTAGAATGGCCTTCTTTTGGGATAGGATGACCATCAGAGGAAGTGCTCGATCCTCACGTAGCCAGCAGGGTGTGGGAGATTGTTACTGAAAAACCGAGGCATTTGGATCAGTTTCCCTAAGTAGACTCCTGGCTGTATGTGGTCTGGATGATGCCTCAGTGGCTTAGGATTTATGCTTGTGGGTTTTTAGACTGAGTTTTAGTAATGCAGAAAAAGGATGGAAGCCCCATTTTGCCCTTGGCCCCCAAGGATGGATCTTGCCTCTGGATTTCTGATACCACTGCCACCCTATCCTGCTCTTCCTGCTGCCAACCCCACCTCATACACCTTGGTAGGTGACACCCCTGCCTCAGCGCAACATCAGAGGAAAGAACAACACTGCAGCTCTGAGTCTAGTTTTCTGTCTGTCTACCACCACAAACAGCCATTCCCCAGAGAAGGAAGTCTTTGTCAGGTCCAGTCCTTGTCTTGCCCCTGTGGTAGGTGGCTGTGATGGGATCAGATGAAAATGCCCAGCTGGAGAGATGGCTCAGTAGAATAAGTGCTTGCCTGGCAAGTGCAAGGGCCTGAGTTCAATCCCCAGTTCTGCCAAGAAAAAACAAAATCTTTGTTTCCATTTGGGGCTGGTGAGATGGCTCAGTGGTCTAAAGCACCTACTTAGAACAAGCTTAGCAATGCAAAGGGACCACAGTTCAATCCCCCAGCACCACATGCCAGCCAGCCCCGCGCCCTGGTGGGGTGAGCTGGCCACACACACACACATAAATAAAAAAAAAAAAAAGAAAAAAGAAAATGCCCAATCCACCTTGGTTTATGTCCTTTTCACTACTAGTGATTTATATAACTGGACTCAGAATCCTCCTTTTTCTGAGCAACCTAGAGCTTTAATTAGTTTATTTGATTCAGTGTTTAAAACTCACTGCCCAGGGGCCAGGGAGATGGCTCAGTAGAATAAGTGCTTGCCTGGCAAGTGCAAGGGCCTGAGTTCAATCCCTGGTTCCCCCCCCCCAAAAAAAAAAAAAAAATGTAAGGGAAATTCCCCAGTCCTGCCAAAAAAAAAAAAAAAAAAAACAAAAGCACACCTCACTGTCCTATTGGGATGATTGACAACAGATTATGTTAGCCCTATTCACTTCTTCAAAGGAAAAGAATAGAATTCAAGACTGGGGAGATAGCTCAGTAGAATAAGTGCCTGCCTGGCAAGTGCAGGGTCCTGAGTTTAATCCCTGGTACCACAAAAAAAAAAAAAAAAAAAAAGAAAGAAAAGAAATATAATTCAAAAGGCAACTGAGGAACAAGTAAGGCTAGACACAAGAGGAACTTTCCAAGACAAGGAAGCAGTAGTAGCTCTGTCCTGCCACAAGACACCCCTAACTGGAATTATAAAACTGAAAAATGGATGAATGCCTTGAAGGAACACCCGCATGCTCTAAGGAAAGGGCTTTTTTCTGCCACACATTGCCCTACTAACTTTCATAAGGGAGTGACTGAAAGGC